AACTTACAGAATTGAGGAATATTCATAATACGCAGGTGAAGTTCGAAAATCAGCATGATCAGGTCATTTCTAGGGAAGTTATGCTGTTTTTTCACTTTTTTCAGCAATATGCAGCACCGATAATCAGTTTCAGATGAGGATTTAATGTGCTATATAGGGCTTAAGCGTGGGAGGAAAGACAAAGTTAAAACCTACCAACAGCAGGAGGAGCAAAGCGTATATTTCCCCCTCAGCGCCCCCCCCCCTCATAAAAAGGTGACTCTGATATTTCAGAGATCAGTCCCCGTATTTATATGTGAACCCATGTTATTATTTGCTTGAGTCAAATTCCATCCATGATACATTGCTAGCCTACATCCATGTATATACCCAAATATTTTTTTCATCAAATAATTAAGCTTTTGAATATACTGATATAAAATACTATACATTTGATAAACAACGGGATTTTTTTTTCTAATTCAGTTTGTTTGTGTGTTTGTGAGTGTGTGTGCGCGAACGCTTTTATCGAGGGTGGCTTAGAAATGACTGATAAAATGCACTCTGTACACGTTGATAAAATATCATATATGAATCAGCAGACTTAAGTATTCAAATGCGTGAACATTGAACATGAACGACAAGGTGTTCCAAGCATTACCCGCGCTAGTAGCATTTTGGCCAAGAATAATAATATTTCTCAGGTTGTTAGCATGGAACGAGGGGCGAATTCAGGATAATTTGAAGGGGGTCCGCGGATGCGAATCCGAACCCCCCCCCCCAGTCGTGGGGTTCGGTTTGATATTTTAGAGGGCGAACGGTGGCATTTGGTACGGTTTGGAAATGATTCAGCTAGTAAAAATTCTAGTTTCAAGAGCGGTCTAATATTGGTGTATTTTTTCAGAAATTGCAGGGTGGAGGGGAGCAGAACCCCCTTACACTCCATTAAATTCGGCACTGTTATATGGTGTATATATATATATATATATATATATATATATATATATATATATATATATATATATATATATATATATATGCAGATATGCCGATACGTGGTCTTTCGTTTAACGTACTTTTGCTTTCTTTGCTCAATAGGTGTTGGTTATAAAAGCTCATGTCTCTCTTCCATGAAACGTAAATCCACGTGGCTAATATAGGCCCCATCGCTGCCTTGGACCTGATAATGAGCTTGTACCGTTAACGGGGTCGATGGTGTATGCATTGGCGCATGTACTGTAGGAAGCAATACTTTGAAAGGTCACAGACGTAAATAACAAAGATGGCGGAACCTACAGCTGATGGTAAGACACACTAGTCCTATGATAACACATTATCATCACGTAGATTAGTTTTAAATAATTGCATTATTTTTTAATTTGAGCATTACGTTTATCATTTCATACAGTGCGATGTGTTATAATATATCACATAATGATCTAGAAGACAGCGTATGTGCAGTAGGACGATTCATGACAGTGTAATGTTTACATTATATATATATTGAACTAGGACAGGTTTGGGCAAGGTAATTTGTTCGAGTTGCCAGAATATTTGTTCTAGGCAGTGCTTATATTACATTCAGCTAATGGCACGTATATGTTTAACGACGCTTAATGCTATTTAACCAATATCATGTGATTGTGTACACAAATAAGAGTTTAGTGTGTGTGTGTGTGTGTGTGTGTGTGTGTGTTTATAGAGGGGGTTAATGTTTTTCTTTTTTCAAATTTTCTCCCCACCATATTCTCGCTATCTGTAAATCGCTGACTCCTTATTTTGATACCCCTTTTCCTCTCCCTCTTCTCGTTGATGTATTTACCTTGTCTTGCCACGGTAAGACCAGAAAAAAGCGTTAAGTTGATAAACGAGGTGATTTTCTCTGTAAATTGACCCGGTAGACGAAAATTATTTGTCTTATACTCATTAGATCGATGTTTCACAAACATTATGTTTAACGGCCATGGCAAATAATTTTTTTCTTGGAACCAACTTCCATTTTCCCAGTTTCCAAACCAATGTCCAAGGTACATTTTGTAGATAATCCCAAAGCTGTAGTCTAAATTAATTCACTATACCACCTAGAGGTCATTGAGTGTGAACATTAACTTACATCAGTCTAATAAGGACCTTCGCCCAGGTTGGCCGTATACCAACGATACGAAAATATTTCGGCTTGTTTCATACTTTTCATTTATGATAAATGAATACGTGTTTGTATCATTTTCCAGATTACTTTGAACACTTAAGCGTGATGCTTGTCGGTCGAAAGGGGCACGGAAGAACGTCTCTGGCTCGTGCTCTTCTTACCCAATCAGATTCACCCGAGCAGACCGAATGCTGTGTACTTCATGGAGACATAAAAAGCTCTGCAAATGAGACATGGAAATTAACACTTAAAGATACCCCTGGAATTGGAGATTTAGATTTTACCAAAGAGCACGTTGTAGAGACCATCTGTCGCCAATGAGGTGTACAGCAAGTAGACATATTTTTATACGTGCTAAGATATAACTTAAGAGTCAGATCAACAGAAATAGGGGCTATAGACCTCTTGGAAGATAAATTCTTCGGGACAGTTTTGAAGAGGGACATCTTTGTGTTTATCCATGACGGTAGAACAGCTCTCAACAGTGAACAAAAGCAAAATTTTATGGATTCGCTACCAAAAACTTTTAAGGAGTAAACAGAATTGGCCGGAAATCGTGTTAGTATAGTCGGCACTGCTGAACCAAATAGCATACTATGTTTTTTGGAGGAGCTGCGAGGAATGATCCGAGAGATTATGCGTGAACAGGAAAAACCGTGCATTCTGAAGGTAATGATTGCCACGTTTCTTTCAAATGCTTTTTATACCAAAAAGATGGGCTGGGCATTATTGTTTTCCTCTTCCCAAGTGTTTCTAGGGCACTGGTAAAATTATTTTTAAGGCAAATTTGATGTTTATTTTTTTCTCAATTTGTATATTTCGGTTATTTTATTATTTTTCTGTACATTTGCAAAGGTTTTATAAAGATTTAAGATATAATCTAAAATAAATAAAAATTGTTGCTATTATTATTATTTATATGACTACAGCCTTTATATCTACTATATTTATTTATTTTGTTAAAGGAGGGAGCATCGTTGTGGAACATCTTCCAGTACATCTCCGTGCTTGAATATTTCACTAATGGACAGTCTGGAAACGAAGGAAACGACTTTGATGATTTCTTCGTTGTCGACTTTGAAGATGTGGACTCTAAAGTTAGCATGTGGGTCAAAGTTGACGTCAGTAATCAAAAGTGATCATTTGTAATGGATGATGCCATAGACAAACAAAAGCCTGTGCGCACCAAAAGCCGTTGTAGTGAACTGTAAATTGATTACTTCGGTAGTTTGACTACATTGAAAGGAAGTAATGGATGTCTCAAGTGATCATAAACTAGATGGAATTTTGAAGGTTGGAGTCAGATGAAACTGCAGGGAAATCTCTGGGACAGATAATTTATCATGAGTCCAATATCACTCACAGTTGAGCAAGCGTTGGCAACTTTCATATTTTAACAATTCTTTCTTGTGATGATCCCTTAATCTTGCAAAGAGAAATAAATCTTCAGAATTGATCGGAACTGAGGGCAACACCAGTATTTCATAAGAAAAAAAAACGAAAAATGTTCAGTCATATGTCATTTTGTTTCGTTTGCTTAACTAGCTTTATAGAATAACAAGAATGTGTTATAAAACGTGTATTAAAGGTTTATAAGAGCTACAAGTCCAATACTTCGCCTTTTAGGTAAATGTACTGCTTGTGGGAAGTTCAGGTGCTGCAAGTTTAGAGATAATGTGAACATTAATGAAATCTCCTTGCGCTTTTCATCTCCAATTAAGGGTTATTTTTTATTCAAAACATACAATTTTGCTTTTTTTTTTCAATAATTACGTTTCGAAATTTAAAAAGAAATGTCAAATTTACAGCTAAAGATTCTGAAAAGTTAAGATATCTCCAATCTAAGACTTCAAGAACGAAAATACCTTTTTTTTGCAAAAAGGGGGCTGAAGAGAAAAATTAGAAATCGTCCAAAAATCGCTTAACCCAATACTTAGAATTGTGACATATATTGTGCTATCAAAAAAAATACTCTTTCACTTAATTACAAAAATGAATCGCATCATCTGTTAAAACATTAAAGAATACACATTGTATGACCTTTAAGTGTTCAGACATAATAATAATAAAAATAATAATAATAATAATAATACATTATATCGTCAATAAAATAGATGGGTGTAGAAAAAAAATAAGAACTCTCACCAACCTGTAAATGTCCCTCATCTCTTTTAAAATACATATGATAGAAATCTAAATAAACTAAACATTAAATCCAATTGTGTAATATTAATCGCATCTCCTCATAACATCAGCCTACAACCCATTCAGCTGGAGTAGAGCAACGTTCCATCAATAAAATTTGCACCTATCTAATGGAAAATATAATGTAATATAGTATGAAACTTCACAATGACTTATATCTTGATTTTGGAACTGTATTTGTCTGAAGATGATCAATACGGTTTGACATACAGGGGATATCTTATGTTAATGTTGCCTCAAATACACATGATAAAACGTGAAAATTTCAATGAAAGAATACTTTTGTACAGAAATACAAATTCTAAAAAAAGAATCTGAGATAAACACCATAACAAGAGGGAATCAAGAACATTAAGCAATCGCTGACGTGTGCATGGTGGAGGAGAAAGCAGAATGGGGCTATTTTGTGCTATTTTCTTTTCCAAAAGCTCTACTAATAGTTATATAATGTGTAATAACAACACTATCACATAATCAAATCGTAAAATGGTACCAATAGCAATGTCCAAATTGAACGCAATAAACAGATATAAAATAGTGCTATGCTAAAATGAACTTTATAAGCATGCTCTTAGTTGTAGAAGGTTAAGTGCATGTACATACAGATGACATTTTATCAATTTTAATTATCGGTTGAGTTTCCCTTCTTTCAGGAAAAGTTGAGATATTAATAGTGGTTTTCGCAGGCGCTGCTGTAGAAAACACGTGAAAAATATTGCTTCGTCGCGCTTAAAAATTTACAGGCATAAGAGACGCCATATTTCAGTACTGGCGCAGACACAAGCAGTGGAAGCATTTCGTACAGGAACCAGGCTGGCATAAGCAATTTTTCAGCCACCAGGGGCTGTACGGAGTCGGTGTAACACGACGCCAAAATATCATTGACGATGATGGTGCCGCTCAATGTGTGGGGACAAAAGGCTCCGGTGACCTTCTTACTGCCTGTTGCCACAATTTCGTCCATAAAAATGGCGTTGGTCGCAGGGTGATAAACGAACACCCCATCACCAACTCGGATATCACGGGCGGCTTTCAGGGAAAATGGGAATGATGTAGAGTTAGAGCTAGCGTGGATATAATGACCATAAGAGAGGAGAAGGTGTTGCCCAGTTGAAGTCTCCAAGTGGACATATATAGTCTGGCAGTTGGAGTCCGCATGGCCGAAGCAGAAGATTTCCTCGAAGCCGACGGAGCCATCGTCCCTAACACAAAGCACCTTGTCACCTGGAGAGAGTTTGGCCATTGGTGTGACTGACCCATTGCTAAGTCGCACAGTGGAAGAGCCACCAAAACACCAGTACTGCGATGTTAAATATGCCTCAACGTCTTTTTCTAAATGCGATTGTATAGCAACATCACTCAGTTGAGGATATTTCTCTCTTAGTAATCGTCTCTTCTCGCTTGCTACGCTGATCGCTTTATGGGAGAATTTCTCACCCTTATGAGCTTTTGCAATATCATCAACGTGACCGATGATGTCTTTTATGTAGTCTCTACGCTCTCTCCCGTTTTTTGTGACGTTGTTGATGAACATCATCCTCCCACCGGCCTTCTGAAGGATCGTCTTCATTTTGTCGGGAAGATTGCTTATGAAACATTTTGTTGACTCTCCCTTGTTATCAAGATGATCCTTGTGAGTAGCTACAACAACCATGTATTCAAAAATGACTTCCGAAAACAACGTACCTAGCTGAATCACGGCGCCCAATTCCTCTTGAGATGGCATTTCGTCGCAGCGAATGACAAACAAGAACACGTCGATACCGTCCTCGCCTTCGAGCAAACTAATACAATTCGCCAGCTTCTGCAGAATATCTAACCGTGCCTTAGTCGACACAGCCTCTAAGAGGCCGGGAGTATCAATGAGTCGCAAATCACGGCCACCCACATTAGCACAGTGCGATGACAGGTCTTTCGTTACAGCGTCCGAGGAAAAAGCTGCTCGGAAAACCCCTTCTTTTTCGACCATCATATTACAGGTGGAGCTCTTTCCGGTCCCCATCTTCCCGACGGCGACTATGTTGGTGTGCTTCCCCTCAGCATAAGCTTCTGGTAGTTGTTCATATGTATCAGTTACCTGTAATAGATGCCCATAATATAACCAATCTGTTTAAATTCAAAAGCTTATAACACATTGTCATGAAGGGATGTCCTCAATAATTCTAGGACATTTGCACAATATCTGAAAAATAAAGGACTAGAGTGTTGACCTTGCTATAGTGTTAAGCTATTCGCCTCATTTAACCGACGTGTTTGAGAGAGAGAGAGAGAGAGAGAGAGAGAGAGATGTCAGAGAGCACGAAGTTATTCACCTTGATATATTTCTGGGTCATTTGCCTCACTCTACCGATGCATCTCCTTAGACCAACAGCAGTAGGGCTGAATTCCGTGTACGCTGCCTCTAAATGTCGAACGATTTCTTTATTTTTCGCATGGTCAGCCTTTCTGTGAGTGAGTCCCTGTATATTATCTGTGAATGTGTCTCGTAAACTTTCAAGATCCTTCTCAAGCTTAATTATATCATGGGGAAGGTCTTGGACCTGAGTTTGGTGATCTTGGAAGAAGGTGCGTAGAAACCCCAAAGCTGAACAAATGTCGTCATACCTGTCTTCCAGATCTTTAATCTGGTTCCCCAGTCTGTTTTCGAATTCATATGGCTCTGCAGAATTATCAAGTTCGGATAAAGGAGCAATTTTGGCCAGCATCGGCTTGCCTTTGCCGCCATTTTGTTCCTCGACTTTTTCTACGAAGCGATTTATCAGCTTCTGCAAATTGCTGAGATCACTTGATTTTGTTTCGCGGACGTCGTACTGCATTTCTGAAACACTCGAGTCAACGTTCACTGTGCATTCCTGAGTATTCCTCAAGTAATCTTCGATGTTATTCAGTTTACTGTTAGCACTTACATCGGCGCCATATTCTTTAAATTTGAACTCTGCGTTTGCTCCCATGTCCCGTTCAAAGTTCTCCTTCGCATTGCGACTGTTCACGCGCGCTGTTATGTCGATGGTCAGATAGCCACCGTAGGCTAAAGATGACACATAATGTGTAGGATGAACCCCAGGTTTTCGTCTCACACTTCCGCGTCTTCGGTCGTTCAGGCGCTTAATTCCCTGAGAGACAAAAATATTATTATTATTATTATTATTATTTCCCCCGATATGTCGCAAAAAAAATCATTCTCGCCAGTACAAATTACACACGGAATAAGCGTAAAGGCATGGATTGAAAGGGTAACTGTAAAACACACCTGTGATACACAACACTGATATTCGTAAACATTTTACAATTTACAGTTGAACATTACTATTTCTGTTTTTTTTTTTTTGCATTTTTTATTCAGATAGTTATGTCAACAAACAAAAACTGAATAACTATATTATAATTATATTCTTGAACGTTTGCTTTTATTTTTTCATTTATATCTAGTCAATTATTTCCTTAATCATTGATCCATGCATGAATTTATTCATTTGTTTCTTTTTTTATCTCATTGCAAATTAATTGATTAAATCTGAAGTAATTTGATTAAATCTTCTAAAATCTTTTCAGAGAAATGTTTGACCTGATCTGGTTTCTTAAAAAGAAATAAAAACTCACAGTTTGCATACGAATAGACAGGCGCAGTGTGGTGACATCACCCTTCGTTGTATTTTCCCCACTTCCTTTCCAGCTAGCACTTGCTCCTGCCTCAGCCTTCAACCCCATGTTTACCCCAGGAATAGTCAAATCGAAAGCTTTTGCCTTGAGCCTCACAAAACCCTCACTGCTGCTGGTCTGAGTATCGCGCTCGGTTAAGTGCCCGGTAAATTGGCGAATTTTTATATCCCGATCTTTAGTGAAATCCAAACTATCCTCTTCTATGCCCTCAATTATGGCTTGTGTTTTTTCCATGGTATCAAAGTTGTATCCATCTCCTATTTGCAAGTCAGCGTGGCATTTAATCCAGTGTGGGTCGCTTGAATTCATGGTGCAGTCTATCTTTGCTTGTTTGTGCCCCAGTAAACTATACTGTCTAGATTATGTTCAAGTGTGTGTGAAGTCTTTTCTGCTAGCAGCGTGCCAGTTTTGAAAGTTTTACTTTCGCCAAAGTTAACCAGATTAAAACGCTTTCCTGTCCTCTCTTTTAAAGTAATTTGATAACGCACTACCCTGTTGATTTTAAAGTAAATATTTCAGTGCAGAATATCAACCCTTTACCTTGTTGAGATTGTTAGTTCGACTATACTTCATGAGCAGAGTATGTGTTTGGTAACGACGACTTCCTGCCTATCAACATCAGTTGCTGTACGCTGTGCGAGTATCTGAAAGACGTGAGTTGAGGCTGGCTGGGCGGATGTTACCTCGTGCCGCTGATATGCAAATCAATAACGCCTAGGAGGTCAAGAGCTCAGGGAGCGTCTCATAACATCTTTAACTTATTTCTGGCTAAAACAAAAGAGGATAAAGAAAACTATGTTTTCCCACTGATGTGAATAATGTGGCAAAGTGCCCGTTTCCCACTTTCTTTAAGTTGTAGAATCGCAAACAGAATACCATCAATAAAGTGTCCAGGTTATTAAATATGTGTTGCTGTTTTGGGTGAGTTTGAAAGTAAATGATTTATCGTGTTTTATACATATACGAGTTACAATTTGAACACGGCAACTATACACTATAATGACAGGAAGATCAAAGGGAAGGGCTAATAGCGGGAAAATAATAAAAAAGAACTGATATATGTTAACAATTTCCCCTTGAATTTGTCAAATCTTGGAACTTTGTGAAGGTCCCGCGAATTACCAGGGCATGCGCAGTTTGGCATTTATAGCAAATCTCCAACACTTCCATGCCAAAGCAGAAAACAGCAGTAGTAACACTTCGCTAGATCCTCTATTATCTCCAAATAGGAACAGCAATGTAAGTATACATTCACGTGTAATGATAAGTCACTAATGTAATGAAGGAAGATAACAGTGAGTTGTGCGTGGAGTCAGTTTCAGGCCAAAGAAACGGATCAGTAGTTTCAGTTCAACTGTCAGAGTTATAAAGGGTTAATGTAAACTGTACTCGATTTCACACACATGGAAATTATCAAGAACAGGCTATAGTCATAACTGGGTCTATAATCGATACCTTGGCAATTGTCTAAAATAACATTATGGGGATTTAAGTTGGTATGTTTTAGAATCTTTAATTGTGCATATGATAAGCTTAGATTGTATGTTATAAACTTTTGATCTTTTAAACTTAATATTGTACACCATTGCAATAATAATAATAAGAAGAAGAAGAAGAAGAAGAAGAAGAAGAAGAAGAATTTATTGGCATGAAGACACAGCACTAAATACTGAAACAGACAGATCGAAAAAATATATATATATATATAAAATCCTGTTTCAAAACCGGACAATCTCTTTCCATAAATAAAATCATTTAGATTTTATTTTTAACTTTTCTGACTGTTTCCGCCGCGATTTTCCTAAGTTTAGTTTTTCATAACACATTGCCAATTTTTTTCCCAGGACGACCACCAAAACCTACAACGTCATTGTCGTCGGCTATCAGGGGCAAGGGAAATCTGCAACTGTAATGAAACTATCCGGGGACCCTAATTATAAAGGAAAAGATGGCAAAATTACACGCAAGACTTTCAGGCTCAAGGAACCGAGCTCGTGGACTGTTCATGTTGTGGACACACCTGGTTTAGGATCCCTGGCCACATCAGACCATAAGATACTGGACAGAATATATAACGAAGCCAGGTGTCTGCAGCACGTGGACGCAATATTGATTGTGTTTAAAACGGACCGAATTAAAAACACTCAAATAAAAGCAGTAGATCAGTTCTGCAAAATTTTCGGAGACAATTTTCTTCAAAAAAGCATCATTGTCCTCACATTTGCTGATGCCGTAAAACAGAAAAACACTTCCATCGGAGAATTTTTAGCCAATTCGCCAGAGACATTTCAGAGCCTTTATAAAAAATGCGGTGAACGAATATGGTGTGTAGAAAACAGTGACTGGGAAGACCGAGAAGAGAACCAAGAAGAGTTAATAGAGCTGATAAAATCTGTTGAAACGGTGCCGTATAAAATCCCCGGTGCTGGAAGGGTAATGGTCGCTTCCTTTATTTGTTATATGTATTGAACATTGCCTTATCACCTTCGACTAATTGTTTCGGTGTGCGTAAAGAAAGACAAATACATTTGAAAATTGCATACGTTATTACTTTAAAGGGGGCCATGGTGATATGAGCCAAAAAAAAAAAAAAAAAAAAACATTTTGAACATGTCTTGTCATATATATTCAGTTCATGATTTTAAGCAAAACTAACCACTGGATAAGGCGGTGATAACGTCAAACAGCCGTATCCGATAATTCCCGAAAAAAAAAAAAAAAAAAAAAGATTAATATAACAGGACTAAATGCACATCTTTTCTACGTACTTTGATTTTCTCCACGAACTCATGTCGTGCATGTTTTGTTATAAATGAGGAAGGGATTTTTTGTTCCTGTTAACATAACTTGATTTCATTACATTCCACACATGCGTTTTTTTTTTAAAGTTATTGTAATTATTTCTATTCCAGGTGATTTGCTGTGGAAAAAGTGCTGTGTGCATTGCTGTCACTGTTGCTATCGTTGGTGCTGTTGTCATCGCTGTTGCCGTCGCGGTTGGCGTTGCTGTCACCAATAGTTAAATACTTATACTGGTCAAAAGCTACTGAACTGATCCATGCAGAAGAGCAGTATTTACTTTCACTTCAGCAATCAGGGCATATTCTAAATAGCGACATTGAAATAACCGCTGTGGTTCCGTAGTTGTCATATGTTCCTAAATGACGTTCATGATCCTTTTTTTTAATGGGCATTTTTCAACGACTTTGATTGCTCCCGGATCTGACTCAATATGCAAGGTACTGTGGGTTAAAGTGGAGACGGTTTAAAGGTCTGATTTGGTTAGTTTTTAAATATTTGGAGAACCTACGACATCTTCATAACTAGTTCAGTTTTTCAAGCTTCGTTGTCGTCACTACATTGAAATATATGTAAGCCAGGGCTTCATAAGTTGAATGCATGATAATCTAGAAAAAAAAAAGCATTGTGTTATTGGTTTTAATGCATGCAATATATGTATATACTGATAAATTTGTTGACAATAAATGCACTTCTAAACGGTTGCAAACTGGTTCAATTGATAACTTGCTGGATTTATAAAAAGATAGTTCCGAATTAGAAGATAGAAAGTAGTGGGATCTGCATGCTTTTTCAAAGAATCACACATAACTATTTGGATAAATTCGTAATTTTATTCGGAAGAACGAAAATAAAAAATATATAAATAAATAATAAAGAAATAAGGAAAATTAAATATTCATTCATAAATAGAAATAAATTAATAATTTAATACAATTTTACATTAATTATTAAATCAAAAATACAAAAAATGGCAATCAATGTAGTTTATTGGTCAATTAACGTGCGGTGCAACAGGAGACAATCATTCCGATCTGTAACTAAGCTTTATTAAGACCATATGTTATGTTTTTCAAACATAAGATAAAAACGCTATATGGGGGGGGGGGGGGATTCAAAGGGTTAACCTTTATAAGAAGGACAAAAATATCAGCGCATGTTTGCACATGCGCATTGGCAGTACAGTAAGTTTTGTAGTTGGATATAGGCACTTCCCAGATAGCCATTTTATTAAGCTTCACTTGGTTAATCACAGGAGGTTAATACATAAAAGGAAAGTGGAATGACCGCCAAAGGTGAGTGATACAAGAAACATCTTCCCCTCTGCTTGTTTCTCCTGGTTTCCATCTCTATAATGCCCCACATTTACAGGAATGTAATATGTAGGCCTACATGGTGAACTCTTGTCTCGGTTTTCATGAATGATACAACCGGTACAACTGAAGAAAAACAGGTTCTCAAGTGTTTAAACCACACGGTGATATGAGCCCTTGCCTGCGGTTATTGTCCTGCATGCAAAGCTGTAAACAAAAGCAAGGTATACCATCGACTTTTACTCGCTTCCCATGGACCTGTCTACTTCCTCCTCCACTTAATAAAATAATGACCCTAAAATTTATTATGAGTGGACTTAGACAAAACCAAGTGCATTTTCTAACCCTGTGTCATAAATAGTATAGTATGCATGTAAATATGTGGTTTACTGTTTTACTTTGTGAGGCATTCGTTTTTATCTTTGACCCCCCAAGCGATATCCCCCATATCCTGATCCCACCGTGCACTGATGTAGCTGCTTCTTACAGCAGACCTAATAGCATAAGTAACCTTGCGGTAGGCTAAGCGAACTACTGTTTGGTTAGTGGGCCTAAAAGAGTGGCTAAACCTCGTGCTGTATGTATTGTTTTTGGTGTGTTTACTGGTATCTTATCTGAATGTAAAGGCAGACAAAAATAAAATTAAAACGTGGAGAAACTTAAAGGGATAACAACTCTTCGTATGAGATCTACATTTCACAATTAAAAAACATTGTGAACAACTCATAGACATATAATATATTCTGTTTTACCAAAAAAAAATTATAAAACGCCAGTTATGGCTATTATTCTGATATCTGAGTTTGTCTTTAGACCACGTGACCTCCATTGATGATTATATTCTGTTATAATCTCTTAGGAGATTATAACAAAAAGACAAACTTTTTAGAAAAAAAAAAAAAAAAAACAGGGACTAACTTTGAATGTAAAAATGGATTCATTAACCATTGGTAAGTATGGGAAAATTGTTGTTTACTCCAGGAAAAATAATTTTTTTGGCTAAAACGAAGAGTTATTATCCCTTTAAGCTTGTCACGCACCCAGAACAATGGCACTCAATAGAAAAAGGGGGAAGAGCTTGACGTGAAGAATGTCAACACAATGCCGCCAAGATTCCGTTTTATTAAAATTAAGAGAGATCAACAAAGAGAGAGAGAGAGAGAGAGAGAGAGAGTGCGTTCACAAAAGGAAAAGGGTCTTATACTGTAACAAAGGACACCGGTTTGTTGAGCATGAATTGCCAAACAATCCTACTACAATCCTACTAATAAAAAAATACCCCCGGAAAAAAGAAAAGAAAAAAAAAGTAATATATCTAGCAAGGAACTGTAGATTTCAATTATATAAGTGAAAGACAAATAGGTTTTTCTGTGTATCAAGTTGGAAAAGATGAGTATAGCCAGATTTATTACACGTTGACCTAGGTTGCTACATGTATGTCTCTTGTGTAGTGTTGATAAAGTATTTAGCTATATGGACAAAGGGCCAAACCATCGACCGTGTGTCACACACGCACGTATGAACGCACGAGCGCACTCACACATACAAACGCTCACAAAAATGCACAAACACACATAAACACACTCATAAACAAACGCACACACACGTACATAAATGCACACACAAACGCACACACACATACCTAAACACACGCACACACAAACGCACCCACATAAACGCACACATAAACACACACACACACGCACACACACACACGTAAACACAAACACACACCAGTCTCCCTGGGAATGATTTTTGGTTTTATCATATATTTTCACGTTGTAAAAGCGGGCAATAAACCCCATCTGTATTTAGATAAGATAAGTAAATATTATTTATGGACACTTTGGAGCCGAATTTGTTTACAGAAGATTACATAAGTGCTATGTCTAGACCGTGTCTGTTGTCACTGATACTATATAGTGAACATTAATTCCGACCCTCCTGATAATGAACAGACTAACAACGTATGACATCTAAGCTTTTTAAGTGTCGGCTCCAGTGGAATGGAACATGCTGTCACTCAGTTTATGCCAAATAGTGTCAAAGAATGATTTTTTTTTTAATTACTCAGAGCTTTCTTTAAATATGTTAGTGTACGTGCCTTAATGTAAAAAACGATCAGTGTAATTTAAAATGTCCCCTTTAATAGAATGCATCAACTGCGGTTTTGTATATTGTTTTAATTTTTTAATATGTAAAAGTTTTAACATTGAAATTAAACTGAACTTCATAGACTTAATAATAATAATGATAATAATAATTATTATTTATGATATGAACAGACTGTACTTAATAATTAAAGTCTTAAATCTCTGGTAAACAAAAGAGGTTGTTTTAATCGGTGTTAATTTTTTCAGGGTGGGGGGTACATGTTTATATCAAAATAATCCTTACAAAGGAAACTTCAGGATAGGGTGTTCATCAAAAGAGAAAGCATAGATTATGAATTGAACTTAATGAGTGTCAGTTCCTCTACATGCACTTATTTTAATATAAATATCTGCCTTTTCCTTGTTGAAAGTTTGGACTCTTAGAGTGACCGACAGTTTCTCCTTAATATATCCATTACAATTCCGTTGAAGTTGTTTCATATTGTAAGTTTAAAAGATAAATGAAATTGATGACTTTTGGTTTACCGTCAGATAAGACGTGAATACATTTGCCTCTTGCTTTGTCCTAGGCCTGGGCTCCCGGACTGATCTGTAGAAGGAATGTTGCTTTCTTTGTACAGAGTCCGAATGAAATCGTCTCATTTCAATAACAATCTGATTAAGCGAGACTAAGAGGTAATTATGTATTTTCAGGGCCAACAGTGGTCATGGTTGTGGGCCGTGTGAACCAAGGCAAAACGGCCCTCGTGAGCACTCTCACCCGTAACAACCATTTGTCTGAAAAGAAGGACTGCTGTCAGAAGACATATCGATGGTACCCTGAGAACGAGGGGGAATGGTGGATAGTAGACACGCCCGGGTTTGGTTCATTGTCATATTCAGACGAGAAAGTTATGACAACAATAAAAAGAAAGGCCAACGGTATTGATCACGTGAATGCGTTTATTTACGTTATGAACTGCAGTAAGAGAATCACAGATTATGAAATCGTAACCTTAAACCTGTTGGAGTCTCAATTTGAGGATTTTCTAAAAAGCACAGTCTTTGTATTTACGCATGGTGACATATATCCCGGGCTGTTGACTCAAGACTTCATTGAGAGATTTCCCGAGACTTTCAGAGACAAGGTTAAAGAAGCTGACAACAGAGTTGTCGTCATAGACAATAAACCAAAGAATGACGATAATAACACAAAAATTAAACTCATACAAGACTTTATTAAAAATATTGTAGAGGGCACCAAGGTATACCAATTAGAGGTAGGCTTCATTTTAATTATTACTAAAATGACACACAATTCAGACATTCCAGCTAGTGATACACGTTTTCAAGAAATTAGAATCCATATTCTTACATAAAGCTTTAAATTTTGAAACGTGAATATATATATATATAATTTTTTTTTTTGCAATATGTATTATATCAGTTCTGTTCGGAATTGATTATAAATTGTCCACTTACATTTCACGTCAGTTTTCTCTTTTATTTATTGCTTTAATTTCCCTTATAATCCTTTGAAAAATGTTTTTCTCGTGAAAGGTCAGTATACTCGACACTGACGTTACAGAATTATTATTATTATTATTATTATTATTATTATTATTATTATGATGATGATGATGATGATGATGATGATTGAGCCTTTCACCTTGAATATTGTTCTTTTTTTTCAGAGTAGATGGTCGTCTCTGCTTAGATTTTTTAAGTTTTGAAGGGATAGATGGCGACAAGGACAGCAACTATTCCACTGAAGAATTAGCGAGAGAATTGTCGTTTACTTAAAGACTTAACCCCTTTTGTTTGAGTTAAAATCGACTTAAGAATCAGGGATTTTTAAAATACCAAACTGAAAAGAATACATTACAGATGTGCAATGTCATGAACAACATATTCATCAGGAAGACGTATTCCAAAAACTGAGTTTTTGCAATTTAAATAAAAGATTATTGATATCAAAATGGAAGTAGTGAAATAGTTACTGCCATATAGTAGGGACATATGATAAAGAGACCTCTCTCGGCTAGTTTGAAATAAGATTGAAATGCCACGCGCATTTTGTTTGGGCTTCGGGCGCTGGGAGTGAGTCAAAACATCATTGTTTCAACGTATCAGTGAACGTGCCTGATAAAAATGCAACGGCGCTGATCATATTTCCATGTTGATATTAAATTGTTTTCATGCATCCATTCAAAGTGAAACTAGGTCTTGTAAAACAGAAGAGTAGAGAAAGACAGAGAAGGAGAGAAAAGAAAGCCCACATGACGTTTTTTAATACTGCTTACTGTTAAGAAAAATATTTTTATTTAAGAAATAATACCAGGATACAGCGCACTGTAACAACGTTAAATATCCCAATTCTGTATATCTCAAGTACGTTCGTGTCCAAGCGGGAAGGTTATATTTAGAACTAATGACATCAACAGTTCTTGGAAGAGATGGAAAGTTTTCGTGTATATGTTTAGACTGGAACGGGTTATATTAACGATAAAAGCATGTAAAAAGAAAGAGGAAAACATCACATCACGTGCTTCTCCAGCAGGCTTTGCAGAGTTCATTTCGGTATTTTTCAAGACTTGCGGTTTAATTGATTTACTCTACATTGCTTATGCATTGTAATCGAGTTAAAAATAATCTCTTCTATATTGACGTTCCGTTCTCAACCAGCTGACTGTAATCAAATCACTCAGGGCGCAAGGTCAAACGCCAGCCGTCTTGCTTGTCTAGGTCACAGATAAAATTAATATGTCGCAGGCCAGATTAAAATTCAGTCAATTGTATATTGGCCCTGGTCAAATTAGACTTTCAAGAATAAAACATTACCAGGTAGATTGAAATGTCAGTATTACGGCAGAAATATTACGTGAATATCTTCATAAATAAAGTAAAAACATATTACATGATAAATATCGCTTTTGATTATCCTTAACAGGAAAATTTAAGATTATAGGAAGCACAATGTTTAATTCACCACAATACAAGATTCCTTGACTGTTCTTGATACACCCCGAAAATAACCTTATAATGAGAGGTAGGGGGGCGTCTCGATAGTCCGAAGGTTCATTTGTCCGAAGGTTCATTGGTCCGAAAAGTGGTAACATTTTCATCAATTTTTTGTTCAAGGGTTCATTGGTCTGAAGGTTCTATAGTGAATATTCGGACCAATGAACCTTCGGACTATTGAACCTTCGGACTATTGCTACGGCCCCGAGAGGTAGATATGACATTGCAGAAGCTATAATTTAGTGAATGAGGGCAATTTTCGACTTCTGACTACGAAGCCGTGTACACACTCAATGTAAAACTTCCAGCTTGTGTCTGAATGTTTCCGAAGAAACAGCTATATTGGATAACCATACAACTTGAAGAGACACTTATGATCAACATGATAAGAACATAAAAATACAAAATGGCTTGTATAATTCAAAACTTCATCATCATTGATGAAAAATCACCAAACAAAGGTGAAATGATTTGTTTTCCGACCGAGCACCCCCATCCCCATTTCACGTTTTTTATTTAGTGGGGTTACTTGTTGGCTGTAAAGCGCTTCCTGCAACCAGCCCACCTTGCACTTTCCCCATCCTACTGCCGTGCCTACCTCGGTCCACGATAAGAGGCGAGGCACTTCAATCCATTTGTCGTTAATTGACCTTTTCGGTGCAGCAAATTATGTCCCAATTGCACAGAGAACGATAAATTTTATGTTATGTAGGCGAGACACCTACATCTTTATCTCATGACTTTCAGGTCCTCCTTACTCTGCAAGGGGCGCTGCCAAAACACACGTTGATAGCTCCAGCTTTCTATAATCTTGTCTTTGCTAATTAAAGATCATCAAGATATAAATACAGCGTTTAATGCGTTTTAACGATTTTTACAATGACATTTACTTTACGCTTCTTTTGTAATAATGAAATTTCAATCTAAGCTAGTTTATTGGCACACACCCTTTGTGTCTGCAATGCAATGTACCGTGTAACCCGATGTTGAAATGCCCACTTCCCGAGCCTAAACCTGTTGATGAGAGGTTCAGAATAAACCGCATTCTGACTCCATTCTGACCCTTTACGTGGAACGTGGGGTTTCAGGAAGATGAATCGAAACTAAAAGTTGACACTGAAAACCCCGCCTTGAAGAAAGCTCGTTTTATAAGAACAACCGAGTCTGAACTTTCTGTACAAACTAATCAAGAAATAACCACAGGAAAGTCCAGGAAATTAATATGCATTTTCTTTCGAATCGGCCGTTAGGGGAAATTATTTCTCTGTATGTGAGGAGCATAAAAATGTAGCCCTTTGATGAAATGCTCTACTTCCTGGGCCTAAACTTGTAAGTGAGCGGTGCAGAACGTGATTGACCGCATTCTGACTCACTTCTGAGGTTTTACGTGGAACGCGGGTTTTCCAGGAAGATGTATCGAAACTAAAAGTTGATACAGAAAATCCCACCTTGAAAATAGCTCGTATAATCGAAACAACTGGTATTGAATTTTCCACACAATTTAGTCGAGATATAAACAGCAGGAAATTAATATGCATTATTTTTCAAAACAGGGAATTTATTTCTCTGCAAGCTAGAAGCGGGCGGAAAATGGGGGTGTAGAGATGCGCTATTTGTAGCAAGCGGTGGGCCGCAATTTGCATGTGAAAATGATGGATACAAATATTTGTTTTAAATTTCGGTTTCTAGTCTGATGTGAACAAATGTTTAAAACGCGATGCGTACGCAGAGAAAAGTAAAAAAGTCAAACACGCTGAGATACATTAAATTAATTAATTACTAACAAGAATAGGTAAATTAAATAAAACGCAAGATATATTAAAAAAGAAATAAAAAAGATAAATAGTTATAGACAAAATTGCTTCATAAACTAATACGATATTCGACATTTTCATTCCATTTCATTTATTCATGTATATTTCACCACATGCACCATTTAACCTCTTTAAAAATGCAGCTACAATGTAATGTGAACGTCAACAGCTGTTTGAATGTCACAATTTTTCTGCTTTTAGAGTCTACACGTGTACATGTGAGATTAAAAAAAGTGGTTGACCGCATTACGATCACATGCCTATTAATGTGAAACACCTGTACTTTTAGTTGGATAAAACGGAACTTAAAATACCAACAGAAAAAATCCAGTTTGAATAAACAACAACCGTTCCTAGAAAAATTATTATCTACTTTCTGTTCTCAAGAAACATACACAATATTCATACAAATGGAAATGCAACTTGCACAAGCCATTAATTAATTAATTTATTTATTTATTTGTAAATGAAAACCTGCACCCCACATCAGTCCCCTTTCTTACTTTTTATACTAAATTAATAAAAAAAGTCATTCTTAAAGGACGTATTTTTTTATACAAAACGTTAAGACAGTCCAATTTTTCCCATCACCTCCGTCCTACTACGACCCTGTAAAGGTGACACAGGCCCCGCCATGAACTGGAAATCACATCACCACAGCACTCAACTACGACCCTGTACAGGTGACACAGACCCTGCCATGAACTGGAAATCACGAACACCACGAGGTCCAGACACGCCCACAAACACGCGTTCAACTGGAATGAGACAGAGAAATAAATAAATAAATCATAATTCTTTGTAAGCTTATTCATTCATTCATTCATTCATTCGTCGATTCAAACGTTGTCTGACCCAGACCGTACTTTTTTCTTTCATTCATTCTCTCTCTCATTCTCTCCCGTCCTCTCTCACTCATTCTCTCCGGCCCCCCCCCCACCCGCTCTCTCTCTCTCT